GCCATGCTTTGTATTTATGTTTAATAGTTTTGGATTCTCATAAAAATTCTTTATGATAGAGTAGATACAATTTTTATTTTACACACAAAGCAATTATTACTTAAAGAAGTGAATTGACTATCCCAATATATAAACAGCAAGTGTCAGCATAAAGACTTAAAATCAGTTCTCCTGTTTCCAAATCAACTGAATATGCCACCACACCGTATTGGCCCCCATGAAGGAAACCAATTAAGGACATTTGATTCTTTCAGTTTTTGCTTCATGTTATTTTGAAACTGTTCTTAGATGCAAAGACATATAAGATATATCATTTATTCTTGATAATTTTCTTGATGAAATTTCCCTCTTTATCTTTGGTAATATCGGTTGTCTTGAAGTCTACTTTGACTGATACTAATATAACCAGTCTTTCTTGTGATTGGTGTTTGCAAAAGCCTGTCTTTTTATATCCTTTTATTTTTAACCTGTCTTTGTATATTTAAAATGTGTTCTGGTGGAGAGTATATAGTTAGGGTTTACATTTTTACCCATTATGACAGTCAGGATTTAAACTGAGTATAATTATAGATATGGTTGCATTTAATTCTAGCTTCTTGTTATTTTCTGTTTGTTCCATTTGTTCTTCTTTTATTTCCTCTATTTCTGCCTTCTATTGGATATACTGAGTGTTTTCTAGTATTGCATTTTATCTCCTCTATTGACTATCCTATTTTTTAATATGGTGTTTATATCTGTAATTGATCACAGCCTGTGTTCAAGTAATACTACACTACTTAACATATAAGAATCTACAAAAGTGTGTTTTCATTTCCCTCTCCCCTCTTTTGTGCTATTTTTGTCATACATACATTTCATTTCTACATATGTGGTAAGTAAACCCTGGTATACACATATTGCTATTTTTGCTTTACATAGGCAGTTATCTTTTATAGAAATTAAAAGATGAGAAAACAAACAAAAAACCCTTTACCTACGAAGTTACCATTTCTAGTGCTCCTCATTTCTTTGTACAGGTCCAGTTTTCCATCTGGTATTATTTTTCTTCAGTCCAAAGGGCTTCCTTTGTGGCTACCTTCACTGGACATCTGCTAGAGCAGGATGAATTCTCTCAGTTTTTGTCTGAGAAAGGATTTCCTCTTCATCTTTGAAGATATTTCACTGGTTGTAGGATTCTTGATTGAAATTTTCCTCTCACTGCTTTAAATACGTTGTTTGATTGTCTCAGGCTTGCATTATTTTTGACTGGGAAGTTTTCAATCATTCTGATACCTGTTGCGTTGTACATAATGCGTCTGTCTTCTGTCTTGCTTAAAAATTTTTCTCCTTAATACGGGTTTTTAGCACTCTAATTATGATGCACTTTGGCGTGGTTTTCTTTTTCTATACATTGGCATATGTTAAGCTTCTTACAATGTTTATAGTTTTAATAAAATTTGGATGTTTCTACCACTTTTTCTTCAAATATATTTTCTGTTCTTCTACTTCTGGGACTATAGTTATACTGTTTTAGACTACTTGATATTGTTCCATAGTTCATTGGTTCTCTATTCTTCATTATTTCCTTTTTTTTCTCTGTTCTTCAGATAGTTTTTACTGCTAGGTTTTCAACTTGACTTGTCTTTTCTTCTGCATTATGTAATCTGCTCTCAATTTCATTCAGCAAATTTTTCATTTCAGATACTGTATTTTTCAACTCTACAAATTTGACTTGGTTCATTATAGCTTCTTTTTTTCTCATCATGTTTGTGTTTTCCTTTAAATCTTAAGTGTATTTAGAACAGCTGTTTTAATGTCTCTGTCTGCCACTTCATATCTTCCATTTCTAGATTTGTTTCTATTGATTGATTTTCTTCCTGGTTATATATCACATTTTTCTGCTTCTTCATGTGTCTAATAATTTTTTTTGAATGCTGGACATTATGGTTCTTATGGTTTTATATGTCTGGATTTTGATGTCTTCCTTTAAAAGTGTTAAATGTAGTTCTGTGTAGGCAGTTACTTGTGGATATTATCAAGGCTTTTCTTTCAGATTTGTTAGGATGGACCTAAAGTAGTCTTTATTCTAGACCTAATTTAGCCCTTCTGCTAAGGCTCGCTCTGACCTTCTGGTGTTTCTACAGAATGCCCTAGGTGTTCAATAAGGTCATGTCACTGTGGATGGTCAGAATTTGAGCATCTCTGCCCCCCTACACACGTGCAGCTTGTATTCAACATCAGAGTCAAGGGGATCTCTGTGAACATTTCTGGATCTATATCTCTGCTTAAGTTCCTTTCTGATACTGCCGCCAAACTTCAGGTGACTCAGCTTTCCCAAATTCAGTATCTGTCTCCTCACCTCAGTGAGATCATGATGCTCTGCTTCCTTTCTCCATTCTTGCTCTGCACTCTGATTACATCCAGGTCAAAAGCTAAGATCATCATAGGGTTCACATTACTTGTTTTCCTTCTTTTAAGGAACACAATCTTATGATACATTTTGTTGAATGACTGAAAACATTGTTTTACATATTTTGTCTACTTATCTACTTGTTTAGTTGTGGGGGAGAGCATTTCCAGTAGTATTTACTCCATCATGGCCAGAAGTGGAAATCCTTCCATATATCGAGATATATATTTGATATAATAGATACAAGATATGAATTCATAAAGGATATTAGTCACATCATCTCTTCCATCTCATTTTTTTAAAAATAAATTTATTTATTTATTTGTTTTTATTTTTGGCTCTGTTGTGTCTTCATTTCTGTGGGAGGGCTTTCTCTAGCCACAGAGAGTGGGGGCTACTCTTCGTTGTGGTGCGTGGCACATGGGCTTAGTTGCTCCGCGGCATGTGGGATCTTCCCAGACCAGGGGTTGAACCCGTGTCCCCTGCATTGGCAGGTGGATTCTTAACCACTGCACCACCAGGGAAGCCCTCTTCCATCTCATTTAATGTCGCTCAGCAAAGTAACCATTTTTAGAAGTTTGTTGTGCCTCCTTCTATTTTCCTTTATATATTTAAGTACATTTGTATGCACATGTGCCCATGTATGCAGATATATACATAAATCAAATTACACTGTAGGTATTTTTCAGCAACATCCTTTTTCACTTAGAATATGTTTTAGAGATCTTGCTATTAAAGTATGTATCAGTCTTACTTAATCTTTTAACATCAACCATATATTCTACAGAATGGTTTACTATATTTATTTAATTACTCTGCTTTTCACTGTCATTAAGGCTTTTCCTTCTAACTTCTTGCTCTTATAAACTGTATTTTTAAAAATAATATTGTACAGCAACTCTTCAGATGGTGAATGCTTCTGTAGAAGAAATCACAAAGATGTCAAATAGTTTGCCTGTTGCTTTCCTGAACAGTTTTTACATATTTATATTGCTCCTAAATAATAAGACCCAGGGATTTTTTAAGAAATAGTTGATTTCAGATCTAGGACAGGAAATACAAGAGGTAGGTCTGGTCCATCTTATCGTAACAGAAAGCATGGGAGTTAGAGAAAGATTACTGTAGTCATGTCAAAAGACACAGGATATAGTTTGAAGGGACTATCACTGGTCAAAGATGGGACAATTTTAGGGGAAAAAAAGACTGCTGTGTTTTAAAAAATCAAATACAGTATGTTCAAAAGTTAAAAATCGTAAGGATACAAGCAAAATCAAACTAAAAGCAACATTGGTCACCTTGGGGAGGGAGCTAGGGGGAAAAAATCATTATTCTGAGTACTGGTAAATAATGAATCATGCATTTATCCTATTCTTCCTGTACAAACCTTATTTCAGAGTAAGCAAATACGAGTAAGAGGAATTCCTTTATAGAATTCTACTAATAAATGAAGAGGGAATAACAGAATCAGATTACCATAAGATTGCAGCCTTTTATTAATTGAAATAATCCCTCTAGAAAATGATCATCAATGACTAGTGATATCCTCAGGTAAAACATGGATAGGAAACATTATAATCAATGTATCCAGCTGACAACACCTGAACCCCCTGATCAAATAATATTGCAGAATGAGAGACAACCAGCTGTTCTATGGCAACCTATATGACGCAATAAGAAGTACACAGCTTTTTAAAAATTGAATCTATTCAAGGCCCTTGATGTAACTACTCATTTATAGGAAATACGAAGATAGAGGAATTTATTAAATGACATCTCAGGGATGCTATCAGCCAGATTTAGCATTCTAGAAATTCTACTAGATAAATGATCCAGTTTTTTCAATAACTAATAGTCAAGATATAAAAAGGATGGGAAACTGTTAGAGATTAAAAGAGAAAGATAGGAAATATCAACTGGATGTAACATGTAGACCTTGTTTGGATCTGATTTGAACAAGCCAACTCTAAGAAGACATTGGAATAGTTAGAGAAATTTGAACAATCACTGGGGTTTATATGATATTAAGGAATTGTTAATGTTTTATTTCTGATGTTAGTATTGTGTTCATGTTAAAAGTAGCTCTTTTCTCTTAGGAAAAAAGTGAAATATTACCAGTGAAATGATGCAAGTTCTGTACTTACTTTTAAATAATCCTGTGAGGGGCTAAAGGGGAAGATCTAGTGACATTTATTTATCTTGGATGATGATTACATGGGGTTTATTATAGTATTTTTTCTATGTATAAGTGTTTGAACTTTTCCATTGTGAATTTCTTAATTTAAAAATACATGTAGCATTCACAAGCCAGGTGAAGAGAATTTCATAAATCATCAAAATAAGTGTGGAGCTTTCAGAATTTCACCCTAAACACTTTAAGTGTGTATGTACATATATACCTGCAAGAATGTTACAGAATTTATTTGCATAAATGCTACAGTTGATTTGGCCTCAACATGCACTTATCTTGAAATTAGCATGAACCTAACAGTTTTCATCATAAAACATTCTCATTTTTATCAACACCCTAGAGGAATCTTTGAGGTAAATCTAATGCTGTATATTCATTCTGTTGTATCTGCCCCTCACCAAAGTCCTAATATTTGCTTTCCAGGTGCAGCAGGTACAGACTGTGCAGCAGGTACAGCATGTCTATCCAGCTCAGGTGCAGTACGTGGAAGGAAGCGACACTGTCTATACCAATGGAGCAATGTAAGTTTATGTATGGGAGTTGTATTCATTCTCCCGCTACCTCGGTTAGAGAAAAGTAAGGTACTTTCTGACACCTTCTACTTGTCCCATATTGATGTTTGAGCTTAAGCTGATGTATGTTCACTAAGAACAATATTCACCAATAAGGTGAATTTTTGTGTACGTGTTTTCTGTAAACTAATATAAGATTACTATATTAGGAGGGTTTTTTGCATTTATTAAATAGGTGCTTACTTTACATAAAAGTGCCTGATACTCAATAAATCTTATTTTCCTGTCTGAACTTCTCCTCCCCCTAAAACTCCCAACCCGTCTCCTTTGCATCAACAGTAACGTTAATTTGTACATTTATTTCATTTGAGTTTTTCAGACACTTTGGGCTAAGATTCAGGATGTTATTATAAATAAAGGGACTAATAACTATTATAAGTCACCAGGTTTGTTTTCATTTACCACAGATTTTTGTTTGCAATCTGTTGGATCTCTGAGTTCTAAAATGAATTCAAATTCTCTCATTGACTCTTCTGTGTGCCCTAGGTTGATAACCTCTGCTTTCTTTATTCGTACTGCACCTACTCCTTGGGTGATTTCATAGATTCCCATGACACCAACCTGTAACTCCATGAGGGCAGGGATTTTTGTCTGGTTTTTGTTGTTGTTGTTTTTGTTCCACTGCAATAAATCTAACACCAGAAGAGTGTATGGTATGTAGAAAATGCATTTATTGTTACCTATTATTATAACTAAACAACTTAAAATCCTGGTTTAACTATCTATTAGTTTTATAATCATGGTCAAAGTACTTAACTATTCTGAGCTTTTTTTACTCTTTCCTGGGAAGTGGGAGGGTAATTGCCTTACTCTTTCTGGATTGTTCTGAGGATTTAAGGCTATGTATGTAAAGCAACTAGCACAGGGCCTGGTATACAGTAGATGATACAAAACTGAAAACTCTTCATTGATCTTGACTGTCTCTCTTTTCTCATTGCTTTTGGTCACTGAATCTGCCTAAATCACCACTGCCTTTAAATCTCCATTACCTATAAAATAAAGTGGAACTCTCCACCTTGGCATTCTCCCCCTTCCTACCTCTCTAGCTTCGTCTTCCACCTGTTCTAGGAACAACCAACTTTGTGCTTGTTTCCCCAAGTACTCTCCTTTCACACCTCTGTATTTTTGGACATGTGGTTTGTTTTCTCTGCTGGAATATCATTCTCTGCCTTTTCTCTTTCCTTCCAAAACCACTACCCCCAGTATAGCGATGTCGTTATAGACTAACACATCACCCCCTCCCTTGAGACGTGGACCCTGGCTCTCCTCTGCAGTTAACTTATTTGTCCCCTGTACGGTTAAGACAGCACTATACCCAGACTTCCACTTCCGCATGGTGCTATGAACACTTATTTATATTTATCACACTAAGAATAACTCTCCCTGAATGGGAACTGTTGTCATTTTGTTATTTTATTTACATCTATTTAGGTGATTGACACATAATAAAGGGTCAATACATTTCTCTTACTCTAGTGAATCTATAATACTTTACGTATTTTAGACACACTGAGTATTTTTTACCTCTTTGTTGTGTAAGGCCAGGGCATCCTGGAGCCTGCTTTTGGAATCTCTACCATAAATCCAAACTCCTGTTGGCATTTATCCCAAAAAAAAATAGGGATGCCTGCCACTTGGTCCTTTATGCTATCAGGGAAAATAAATGGGTTTCTAGACACTGCTAGAGGTCACTGAATTGTATTGTCGTTTCATCCTTGCCTGTGGTAGATCTGTCACAACTACCTCAGAGTAAGGTCATTATATACTCTAACTTTGTTCAAGCAGGTACCATTTCCTACCTAGTGTGTTCTCCTAGTTCAAAGATATCCTAGGTAAAGCCTTACCAGACCCCACTGGGGGGCTAAGTTATCATTCTGCCATTCCATAACATTTTATCTTACATTTATTACAGCATTCTGTCAGCTAAGAAACCAAGAAAATCTGACAAAAAGAGGTTTAAACAAATTAGGACTTTGATTTTTGTCAGGTAATAAGAAATCCAGAGGTAGCATATTGTGCAAATAACTGACACCATGTGGTGCAAATATAAAATAAACCTTAGTGGAGAAAATCTTACAAGCTGGCATAAATCACATCCCTCTAGTTAGACTGGATTGTACCATGGAAATTGCTCCAGTAGAAGATCTCTGGCCTCACAGAGTGCTACATATTTCTAGGGATCAGGGCAGTAGACATTAACTGGTTATGTAGTAGGAAAAAAATGGCTTTCTTATCTAGGGAGGAGTGGGTGCCTCTGAAGCTCAGTTCCATCAGCCTGTTCTTCCATTAGGATTAACTTAGACCAGCTGAGCCAGCTTAGTGCTAAGCTACCCAAAGATGACAGGAAATGAGCCTGTAGAAACATCCACAACTGTACTTCCTCTTAGTCTGTGGCTGACATTAGTTTAGCAGCTCAAGGATATCAGGGCCAAGATTTGCTGGTACAGTAGTAAATTTGCTTTGGTTACAGCCATCATATCTGTATTCCAGATAGCAAGAAGAGGGAAGGTGGAAGAAGAGGATATGTTATATACGTACATATATATATATATATATATATATATATATGTGTGTATATACATACACACACACACACACACACGCTTTCCCAGAAACTCCCAGCTCCATTTTGCTTATATCTCATTGGCCATAACCGTGTAACAAAGTAGTAGTTAGGGGACTTCTGTGGTGGCACAGTGGTTAAGAATCCGTCTGCCAATGCAGGGAACACAGGTTCGAGCCCTGGTCCAGGAAGATCTCACATGCCGCAGAGTAACTAAGCCTGTGCGCCACAACTACTGAGCCCACGTGTGCTGCAACTACTGAAGCCCGAGCACCTAGAGCCCATGCTCCGCAACAAGAAAAGCCACAGCAATAAGAAGCCTGCGCACCACAACGAAGAGTAGCCCCCGCTCACCGCAGCTAGAGAAAACCTGCGCGCAGTAACAAAGACCCAATGCAGCCAAAAATAATTAATTAAAAAAAAAAAGTAGTAGCTAGCTGCAGAAGAATCTAGGAATGCAGGTTTGTAGCTTTCATGTCTATATGGTAGATGGCAGCAAGGGGAAAGGATAGTTGGCATGGGTGTTGAGAGAGTTAACTCCGTAGTACCTAGCACGGTCATTCATCATTGACCCAAGGTAGAGGAGAGTGATTACTAGTGTGTGACTTTGTGAACGACACACAGCCTGCTTCACTTTCTTCATTTATGAAATATGGAGATAGCTTATCAAAAGTATTTTGTGTAGCTTCTGAGAAATTGTAAACACTCAATAAACATTAGTTATCACCATACAATCATGTGCTCTAGGTTTTTTAAAAAATATTTTCCTCTCCTATTTATGGTTCTGACTTCTGCATATTGCCTTGTGCCTTTTAAAACTACCCGAGCACTGACATTAGAGTCTTCCGTATAATAGGTAAATGTGAGATTGGTGAGTTCATTCATTCACAAAACCTTAGAAAATCAGCATCTCTAAAGTTGGCTCTTTAAAATTATAGGCCCCATTTAAGTGCAGAAATAATTCAAAGTAAACATCTCATGCCAACATGAATTTTCTATGGCCCGTGAAGTCAGTTGGTTAGATCATGACTAATGAGGTCTAGGTCATGAGTTCATTTGCCACAAAGTCCAATTAGTTTTGATCCAGTCTGTGTGGGCCCAGACTGCATCCTCAACTCCAGCTAATTATGTCACAAATGTGCGCCGTTGGTCAAGATAGAGAAGATGCATCTTTAAAAACCTTTCATTACAATTTCAATTTCAGTACAACTTTAGATTCTGTAGCACCATTTTCATATTTACTAAAGAAACATTGTGTTGCCATGAATTACACTCAAAATTTTAGTAGCTAGAGGACTATGAACATCTTTCTTCAAATATAACCAAAAAAAATTTTCAGCTTAAGCTATTCCAATCTTTCTGTAATTTTGTAGTGCTGACATTTAACTATGTACAATTTTTGTCTCTAAAGTTCATTTTAAAGTCTTTATACTCCCTCTTTTTATTTGATACACTTCCATGTGTGTTAGGAGAGAGTATTCCATATTCTTCTGCTCCACCATATTAAATTAATAGCCAACTAGTGTTTGGTCCCTGACTTGGATCATAGTGAGATTCCCACTTCTTTGTGATAATAAATGCTTTTTGCTAATGAAACTCGCAGAAGATAGGGATGCCGATCTTTATCATGAACTTTCAAGCACCCAGTACATGGCCCTGCAGCCTGTGCGTGGTTAGTAAGTACTGGTTCACTGTTGCTCCTGTCACCAGTAGCCCCATGCCAAGTAGCCATAATGCAAGGGATCTCACTCAAGAGGTGATGATAGCCCTCACAGATATGTGACATCACTTATGAAAATGTGTAATCATTATAATTTGATAATACTAAAGTATTTACTGGTTCTCTCTGTGACTATGGATGTTACTGGCGGCATAGCAGGACTTAACAGTGTGAGTCAGTGAGTGAGGATCTATTTCAAGAGAACAACTGAGACTGCTTTATAGTGGTGTGTTGGAGTAGAATAGCTTTTTACTCAAGGAAGAAGGTAACCTAACTCTTGTTTCTGCTTATCATTGCTTCTGTAGGAGCCCACATTTGTGTATTTCCTTGCAATAGTTTTCCCAAGAATATTTTTTGCTGGGCTGGATCATAGTCTTGTCCATTGCTATGGATTCTTACAATTTATGATATCTAATAATTTAGTAGATTGTAATTAAAACAGCTGGAAAACAGTGCATACCACGTAGAGAGAGTCCAATTCAATTGAAATTTCTTGATGTAGCTGAGAAATCAGTTTTTTTAAATAATGATTTTTTTTCTTTCCCCCACTCCTTTTTTGACTCATACTTCCCCACTTATTCCTTTATCGTATTAGTCAAAGTGGAAATAAAGACATCATACTATATCTTGTCCAAATTAAGAAATCTTTTTTGAAAAAACTTTTTT